ATTCTGTAGTATCTTTTATCTCAAGCTCACAAGGATATATAGTATCGAAATAGGAATGAAATTAACATTGGTAATAAAGAATACGTCGTCGATATTTCTCAATGTCGAATTAAAGTCCAAAGCAGGTTTTTTGTCTTCTTTAAACTATGAAGAACTGGTCTCCAAAAATACATAGATGTTGTCAATCAGAAATTTTAGCATGGTTTTGATGTCAACTTCAGAGTACCTGTGTGTGCTTTTATTAACAGTTGCCTTTTCAATAAAAATGGAACTCGTAAATTTACTTACCTGGTCATTGTTCATTTGCAAATTTAAGAGTTCCATTTTTATTGAAAAAGCAGCTGTCAATGATATTAATTAAAACCAGGACCTAATTTATCGTGGAAAATGGTTGTGTATGAAGTTGAAATTCGTAAAATCTTAAGCTGTTGACTTTAGTTAAATTTTGTGAACTAAAAAGACTGTGATAAAAGAGAATTCATCTTTCTAGATCTATCATCATGTATTATTCAAAATCATTATACGTGCATGTGTCGGTTTTATTTATGGACTAAGAGACTGCATTCAAATGTTTTATTCATAATCGTAAGCTGAAATCAATTTTCAAGGTCCATTGCTATTCCCAAACCGAACCATAAAAATACATACAACTACTGTTACATGTAAATAGACCTTTGGATTGCATACATTTTGTTCTCCGAAAGTATTATTATCTTGCAGAATATTTTCATATTTCAAGATAATAAGATAATATTTATAATGAGAAAGTATGTCACATACGAGGGGCATTTCAAAAGTCCTGAGAACTGTTTAATAAAAAATTAACCGTTTCACGGAAATTATTGAGTTTGGTATCATTGGAAAGATCAGAAAAATATACACATATCGTGACGTCAGTTGATAATTTTTATTACGTAATATCTCCGAAAATGACGTCAGAATATAGAATGTTTAGCATACTGAAAACTCGCGTTTTTATCCACATGGCACAATTTTAAAAGTGTTGCCAAAGGCTTATTTGAAAATATATTTCAAAGAAAATTCTCATTTGCAAAGAAGTTGAGTAGGACTATGGTACTGTTTATCAACAATACTATATTTCATTGTTTTGTTCGTTTACTAGCGCGGTTTATGTCCGGTTATACTATCATCAACATTTCATCCAAGATTTTAATTTACAAGATACGACTGTATTTTCGGTCTTTTATATAGTTCTCCATTGTATGAAATAAAGAAATTTCTGTATAAAACTAAAGTACAGTGGCTGGAACGTTATTGTTGACAACTTACACGAACGATCCCGTTACACGAACGATTCCGCACGATTAACGCACGATTAAACCTGTTACACGAACGATATTTCACGTTCACGATTCTACACGTTACACGATCTTACACGATTGTTAACGCAAACGCACGATTCCGCACTCAAAATAGTTCAAAATATTGAGGAATCAATATTTTCAAAACGAAATACGGCTTAATACTTGTTTAAGATTTCAAAGAATTATCAATATTATTTCATAGACTTTAAAGGAAGAAGCGGAAAATAATATTACTGTAACTAAATATATGCAAGACTTAATATTTTAGAATAAAAATAATTATTTCTAAGGTAATTCTCCGCTAAAAAAAAAAGGATTTTGTTCGTTCTATTAGACGATGTACATGTATGTGGGTCGTATAATTTGATTGAATTGGATATCATGATATGCAGAAAGGGGGATACTATTGAACAAAAATGGCAACATGGAATGACTTAAATTATAATTACAAATTTTATCCTTATGTTTCCAATGATTCAATGTCTGATAAACTTGCCAATTATTCAACCTTTTTATTTACAGAAATTTAAAATTAATTAATTACAAATAGGCTCAAGAGATAAACACAGATAATCAAAACTCCCGAAAATCATGCCGTGTCCATGTATATTTGTCGACTAACTAGTACGTTATGTTAGCATTGAAAAATGTTTATATCTTTGTAAAAAAATATATTTATTTTCAATAAATTGATTTCAAGATTATCTTTACCACAGTAAGAAGTAAATAATAATTAAAATCAGATTTTTCAAAAAGGCGTTAAAGATTATCACAATATTGATCGCGCTATTTGACGAGAACTTAATATTGTACGACTTACTATATTGCTTGTTTACGGGCGATAATTAGTTCGTTCTGCATTCTATTATGTAAATTGTGCTTTTTCATTTTATTTGGATTTTAATTAAGAAATTAAGAAAAACAAACAAGGGAAATGCTTATTTACAAATAACATTCCGATAAAAACTTACAAAACGAAATTTACACGATTCTAAACGCACGATCTCGCACGATTAAAAACGCACACGATTGAGTCTGATACACGAACGATCTTGCACGTTAAACGAACGATCACTCACGATACACGAACGATTCTACACGATTGGTTTGTCAACAATAACGTTCCAGCCTCTGTATATTAATGCAATTTTCAACAAATATATTTTGAGTAACAGTACTCTTACCGTTTACAAATAAAATGTACAAAAGTCTTGCCCCTGACTTGTTTCTGTACGTATTTTTTCTCATTAATTCAACTTCGGCGCCCAAAAAACTCGGTACTGCTTTTGACTTTTAACTCCAAAAAAGGTTTATAAGTTACACAGACATGTAGAATCTTATTTAATTTCCATGAATTAATTTTTGCGAATATGTGGAGGTACGGTGGGGTTACAACTGCGCCCGCGCCATTTTGGATTTTACGAGAAAATATGGGGCACACTAAACTTAACTTCTCTTGAGCCTTCATCGATCCCACAAATATTGTTAAAACACCTGACGAATTGATGCCATGAAATTAAGTAACACGATCGTCAATTTTTCTTTGATTGCCAACTTTGCCTTATTCTCACAGTTGGGTCTGTTTTACGTAATATTTTAAGCAAGATTCGATAAAAACTTGCGATGTTTGACAACCGCTTAAACCATTTCAGAACAAGAAGATCTCTAAAATAGACCATCATATGATAGATTGTAGTCTATGTAAAGATTCTACCAACTGTCATTTACGTCCGATAGCTTGCACTCGAGTAATGAGCAAAAGTTGTTTTTAACATTTTACATTGATGAAATTGTGTCTTTTGTTACGTCATTTTTATGGTCAGTATTGTAAGTATGCGGAAGTTTGACATCATTATCGGAGATATTACGTCATAAAAATTATAAAGTGACGTCACATTTTGTGTGTATTTTTCTGCTCTTTCCAATGATACCAAACTCAATAATTTCCGTAAAACGGTTAATTTTTTATTAAACAGTTCTCAGGACTTTTGAAATGCCCCTCGTATATTGTGATCTTACGTATGGCTTTTATCTACTGTCTTTCTGGACAAAATATAGAAAAGAACATCCACTACGGTAAGAGAATATTAGATGCCTTAATTGACATCGTTCAGGGAGTCAGTTTTATAGAGTGTACAGAGGAATGTTTCAGTAGGAGAAGATGTTTGTCTGTGAATTACTGGAGAAGTATACTGTTATGTGAGATGAACAGTGTGGACCAATCGTCACATTTACTCTCAGATGAACCCAAAACAGTATTTGCTGACATATCATTATTGGAACAGGTAAAATTACGTAATTTTACGTTACAACTGTCATGATTTAATTAATATTACAGCTGTATAATCTCTGGATTAAGAATATGACTTGATTTTGTTACATTTCTAAATGTAATACATGTAGCTTCCGTTCTCAATGGATATTATTTTTCCCAGTACAAGTATAAGAACATGTTCTGTCGATCACTTTTTATTCGTCAGAACTGTAATTTTGCGTAAATATGCAAGACAATTAGCTCGAAAAAATTTCAATCTCGCGTATTTAGTATTCCTTACGATTATGTCGAGGAATAACAGCAATTTGTGAAAATAATGTCTCGTTATAAAAGAGGCTATGGTTATCTTGCGAAAATAAGGTCTCGCAAAATAAAAGGTGATCTACAGTATAGCATTTTCACTTTTTACAAAATACTAGTAATTCCTTCTTAAAGAGGTGTGCTCCTCAGCTCTTTAGAAGATTATTATGTTAACCTTTATTTGAAAAAAATCTAAATAAGGGTTAAGTTCTCGGAATAAATTTGGATTGTATAATGCTTATCAAACTATATTTAATTTAAATCCTATGATGGAATTCAATACCAAAAACAATCGTGACGGAAGTTTTTTTTTTTTCGAAAAACACCATTTTTTTGAGTGTGGATTCCTACATGTAATTTTACATGCAACCTGCACAAGGATTAATTTTAGGTAGTGGAATGGTCTATGTGGGTCCTAAATTATATCCTAAATTAACTGTCATGATTTCTGTTTTCATCTTTGGCATATATATAAAATATATCGTGGAAGTCTATGGAAAAGTAGCCTTTTGAAGCTTTAGATAAACACTATTTTAGCTATATCTATACATTAAGATCACAGACCCTCACTTATTACTTCATTGTCTGTATATTATAGATAATTTTAACCATGCTGCTTATGTTAAAAAAATTTTTTAATTACTCTCAAATGTTATAATTGCTTATTAAATTTTTAACTCCAAAAAGGTCAAATAACTGACTATTTGACGTACATGTAATTCGAAACTACTTTTGTTGGCACAAAATTGACTGTGACTAACTAAGATGAAATAAAATGATTTTTTGTTCCAATAATTTATTTAGCAAAAAATATTACGGGAAAAATATTAAGAAAATATTTATGTGTTAGATGTAAATAAATTGCTAAAATGTCTTATAAATTGATTCGTAATGTTAAAAGAAGCTAAAGCGCAGTGACCCCCCCCCTTTTTTTTAGCTACGTATGTAGCTTCTAAAATATACTTGACAAAAAATTCTCAATACCTATGGTGACAGTAGCTAACCTCCTTAAACAGATACATGTAATTCATGGTTATGTAGTTTTCAAATTGGTGTGCTTATTTTTTTTTACTTGCATCTTATACATGTTACAGTACAGAATCTGACCACTATTATGTTTATGCTATTATGTATTTCCTAAAACTTTGACATTTAATGATGCAACCTTTTGAAAACAAGGGTTGGATTCTTCGTTCCCATTTAAAATTCCCAATGCTGTGTAAGGGAGTTTTCACATCCCCTTTCATGGCAAAGACTTAAAGCATTTCTAGAGAAATATCAATATTTTCAGGCACTTTTGGGAATTTGTTATAATCTTTGTATATACCAATTCTAAAAGGGTGTATTGTGTAGTTTCTGAAATATATTTATAAATCATATCTCACGACTTTTCTTTCATAAAGAACTGAAATGAAGGAAAAAAGTAAACAGTTATCCGAAACAATCATTATATTGATTAATAAAGCTATATTGCATAAGTTAGAATTGAAATATGAGTCTATATTTTATATTTAATTTTTTCCATACTTTTGTAGCACTTCGTTGGAGGTTGCAGAAATCACAAATGTGCAATCAATATGAAATGTGTTCCTGGTCCTTTTGGCACACATAGGTGTGAAATTCAGGTAATTTATTACAATAGGATTCTTACTCCTCCAAGTCACTTGATTTCGAGTCTTTATTGAAGGTCTATGTTTGCTCTGTACTCAATATGACATGTTTAACCAAACTTTAAGCTTAAATCCTGTTTGTAAACTCCATATTTCAATCCACATGAATATGACAAATGTTAGTCAAAACCGAATTATAAAAGAACTTTTAGTGAAAGTTTTAAAGTTTTTTTAAGGAGAAGGAAAACTTTGAAGAATATCACTTTGTGCAACTGTTCACTTTACAGAAATGAAAGTGACTTTATGTATATTTTAATTGGCGTCATACATGTTAGTCTCCAAACTGCGATGGTCAATTCAAAGTGCGATGGTCTAGCCAAAGTCTGACTGAGTGTGCCAAATTTTATACATCGGAGTGCACCAAATTTTAGATATCAGAATACGTGCACGAGGCTTAATAAGGACATTGACCGAATAAAGCTTTGGATTATTAGATTACCTTTATTAGGTCAATGCAAGGGTTAGTTGCAGGATAAAATTTTATTCAAAATAAATTAAGATTGACCTGTGAAAACATCAGAGCTAGGTTCAAGTGCAATTATGGGGTCGTGTCGACTTGTCTCGCCCACAATATTTCTTATATACTGTAGATTCCTAAATTTACGGGTGGAATTAATTATCGCGTAATTTAATATAAATTTAAATAAAATAATATAATTTAAATAAAATAACTTGCCTTTATTTTCATGGTGCTGAAATCTACGTAAAACGTCTTGACCAACCGTCCATTCGCGAATTATTATTATCGCCATTTGACATTGAGGAGCTTATTCGCGATAATAGGTACTCGCGAAAAATAGGGAATCTACAATAGCACTTTTGGGTAGATTTTGCATAACATGAAAGAAAAAAGAAAAAATATTATAGTGTATTTTGTCAAATTGTGTATCTTGTGTTGTAAGTTGACCACAAGAAATTTAAAAATATATATTTTCTTGTCAAAATACTTAACAAATTATCCTCATTCGTGAACAGAGATCAGTTGTTTTTTTATTTACTTTGCAGATTGTGGACCTCTTCCTAGCTTGAAAAATGCAAAGGAAATAAAATCAAAGGGACAGTTTCTAACAATCGGGGTGGGTTCCCTGAGGATATTCCAATGCTACCCTTGGACTCATGAAAAAAAATATAGACAAAAAGTTATATGTCAATCAGACGGAAATTGGACACATTATCAAAACACTCCTTGTGGTATGTAAAAATATTATAAATTTAAACGTTTATTCAACAAGTTAATTCCATAGTTTCTTTTTTCCGTAATGTTTTGAAGAAAAAAATTCTTTGAGTGGACTTATATAAAAATACGTAGTTCATCATTATTCAATACTACAGAAATCTGAAATTTTCTTCTCTATTATTTTATTTGCTACTACAAATTTTTAATGTATATAATCTCCATATATAATATGAAATATTAAAAAATCCTACTTTAGACTTTATCACCTGTGCTACTGAAGTGACGTCGGTAGAGACTCTGGATATTGATGATAAAAAAATTGACGTGCCTTATGTTTACTCAGATGGACACAAATGGGCGGTAAGTAAGTTTAACTCCTAAGATTTCTTTTTAAATGATTTATATTTTAAAAGGTCCTCGAAAATTTCTGATATCATAAGTAAGTATACATGTATTGACAACTTCAGGAGTTTCCTCTTTTGTATGAACTCTCAAACCCCTTATCCTATTTATTGATTAAAAAACAAAATTTTTTCCTAACAAATTATTTAATGTTTTCATTTTATGTACATTTTTCACTTCGTAAAACATCAATCACACTGTTGCACATAGGACTAAGAATTTACCAAACTGATTTTGAATGTATAGATATTAATTTGAAAAAAAATCATTGTCTCACTTAACATTATTCTCAAATTGCTTTTTTTTAATTTAAATTCTTGGGGGACGGTATTGAAATACATTAAGGTCATCTGCATTAAACATTGTTTTATGATTTATAACTACACTGTAAATCTTCGTAAATACGATAAGGTTACATGTAACACGGCAAAACCTATATATCATTCATGTAGGTCATCAGAAGGCAAATTCTTGTTAAAATATTTTCTGATTACTGAATTGCTTTTAATTTCAGATTTCCATGGCAAAATTCTGTAAAATATAATTGCGGTATATATAAATGAATCTTAACATTACAAAAAACACCTTTAGTTTGTCTTAAGCACTACGGCAAAACTCGATCAGTACGTACACGGATATCGCGAATTAAAGGCTATAGCAAAATTATCTTGGACCCCCAGCTATATTAATTAAATGATTCTCTTATACGGATTCAACGAATGAAGGATATAGAAATGTAATTTTAAATGTCTCGGTGACTTCGTTATAACCGAGTTTTACTGTAAATCTGCACTTTTTCTTTTATTAGGTGATACAAAGAAGGTGTTTTGATAACACAAACTTTTATAGAACTTGGCCCGACTACAAAGATGGTTTCGGTAACTTCAAAGAAAAAACAGATTTTTGGATTGGTATGCCTGAATTGTGAAATAATATGATAAGATTTTAAATTAAATCTTAAGCTTTGATGCGAAGATTTATATAAAACAACTTACGGAATCATTTTCAAGCAACAAATATCTCTGTTGAATTACTTCCTTGATTTATACATGTAATAAATGGAAAAATATTATTGTACAATTTTGCAACAGGAAATGACGTAATACACATGTTGACGAAAAATGGTTACACTTATATGAGAGTAGAGATGCTGAAGACAGACAACGAACCATTAGAGGCAGAATACAGTCATTTCTTTGTTGGTGATGAAAGCACCAAATACAATCTAACAATACGTGGATTCAAGGGGTTATATGGTGAGCATAATTATATGTACTACGTAAACATTTATCTACACATTTAAATAATTTTTAAATACATATTCATCAATAACCAGGAAATGGTAAAATTGCGTGACATTAATCATTACACGTCATTTATCATTTACAAATAAATAATAAGTTAGACTACAAGTTAAATTGCAAGTCGCATAAGGTGCCTAAGGTAAGAAAACATCCCCTATTAACTGGTCACATTCTCTATGCCCTGATAAGTTTGATGAACAATCTCAAAATCAAATTCAGTTTGGAATAAAATAATTCAGTATAAAACGGCCCAATGATTGTGAATTATATTTTTTTTTTGACAATTGACTCTTTCTTTGGTGAATATGCTTTATAATTCTTCTGATAAATATGCCCCATTCTCGGTACTTTTCTGTATATTTTTGTACCATGCGTTTGTCATTTTTATAATACCGTGAAATTAAGATTTTATGATGGTTTCTGCTATTGGTGTTTCTTTCAATTACCTTATGTATTTAATTGTGTTTGGTATCATCAACTTTACAATGTGTTGACATATTCTGATTGCTTTGTCATTTAATTTTTAATGAATGACCATTCAGATCCACCCTTACGTTTTCATCTCTTGCCATATCAGGTATCCATAACTATCAATATTAAATGAGGCAAAGCTGATCATGAGGTCGATATTGATAATTTTAAATAACAAAGCACATTAAACAAAGGAAGAGTCTATAATTGTTTTATATATTAATAATATTATTAAATAATTAAGACTGCATGACGATATGTTTTTAATGAACGATACACTAACTTATCACTTCTGTGTTACCCCTCTGTTGCAACTTATAATTTCTGTGTTACCCTCTTTTGCATTAAAAACATCGAAACGTTTTAAAATATTTCTATTTGCGATAGACTTGCATAACCTTTTTTTTCTGTTCATATAAACAGCTTCGGTCAACTGTTGCAACCATTGTTTTCAGTGGTTTTTTTATAAATTGATTGTGATATCACAATACTGCTGCAGGTGCCTGCATACTGGCCATGCGTTGAATATGGCTTCAAATACAGTAAATAGGTAGTTTTATGAATCACAGGTACTTCGGTCTTGGTTTATAAATATGTGTGTACCTTATTGATATTTAAAAAAGTAAAGTATGCAGACTCCGCAATGGCATCTACTCAATTCGTTTGCTTATATGGTTTGTATTTTGAAAATGATGCTGCACCTACCAACTTTCCGCACCAGATGTCTTGGAACATAGATTACTTATTGTATATTCTCTATAGAGTCGCACAGTAAGTAGTCGATCCTACTAGGTGACGAGGAGATCGGTCCTTCGGCCGTATAAAACAAAGTCCAGTGTCTCAGAAGGTGCTGGCGCACAAAATAGTTCCCTCCCTGCTCAATGACCCTAAGTGTCAAGTATAGGACAACATTTGCAGCTCTCCACTGGCAAGTGGTGGCGTCTCCATATGAGTTTAAAATTCTCGAGAGGGACGTTAAACAAAATACCATCAATCAACCCATCAACCAATCAAAATTTCCATGACAAATCCGCTAAGGAACTTAAAGTTATCCTACTCTCAAATCCAAAAAAATAGTTTTAATAAACCGAGGATTTCGATACATTCTTCAACATGTTTAAACCCGTCATGGTAGCCTAGTGGTAGAGCGTTCTCTCCTTGATCGGGAGGTTCGGGTTCGATTCTCATTCGCGGCGCTGCCACAAACGTCAGACTGTTACTTTGCCAAGCGTTAGGCCCTAGTGAAAGTCACGGGTCTCTCGGAAATATATAACCTTAAAAACGTAGCTCCCAAATCGCTGTAGGTGTTGGCACGATAAAGAGCCCTAACTGCTCAATGGCCCTCAGTGCTGAGTATAGGTCTAAATTTGAATCCCTTCACCGGCATGCGGTGGCGTGTCTGTATGAGTAAATAATCTGGAATGGGACCTTAAACAATATACAATAAAACAACACGTTCCAAAAAAAATAATCATAAAATATTCCTTACTATGCTTATATGTTTTGTACAATTTCTCCCCATTCATAAAAATTGCGTAAGCTTGACAAAGGGATTTATACGATTTTTATATAAAATTTCTTTTGGGGTACATGTTGGAATTTTTCTTGGCAGAGCACAGTTATAGCAGGGTTAGTTATGATTATGTGTAATTCATAGTTCTTAAATCGTTTAGATCAATATAAAACTGATTACTATACATTCTATATTGATTTATAATTTCATAAGTATGGTCTATGACCTACGTATAAAGAAAGAAAACATTGAAAAAAAAATAAAATAGTCAGGCAATATTAATTCTGGCAGTTTTTTTAAATACCTAAATAATTATATATATTAATAGTTGATGTTTTAGATTGTATGACAAACAAGGATTATAAACAAACAGATGCAAATGGAATGAAATTCAGCACATTTGACAACGATAAAAGAAATGGATGTGCTGATTATTGTCGATCGGGCTGGTGGTTCCATTCTTGTACCTGTGGAAATGTAAATGGTTTGTTTGGAAATAAGAAGACAGCTTCTGTGATGCGTTGGATGTGTAAAGATGGGTGGAATTGTCCCCTCAAAGCCACGAGAATCCTGCTCAGAGTATAGATATTATATGATTGCACTTCGTACAACAAATCACGAACAGTATGAGATGAAACTAATTGCAAATCCTAAATAGATTATGTACGTTATAAACTATTGCAAAACATGCAAGGCAAGAAAACAAATCTTACTGATTACAGTCAAAATTATCTAAAAGTGATTTAAGTAGACTTTCGTAGACGACAATGTCATATGCTTATAAAAGAAATCTGACCAAAATCTTTTCACCGATTTGTATTTTCCAAATGAAAAAACTACTTATTCAAATGGTGAATGTGGCGAGCGGGTAAGTCGCTTTCAAAAGGGTGTCTTATTTGTCCGGATAACATTCTAGAGTTTTAAAGAAAGATTATTTTTTCTGATCAATTATTTACATATTTTCCTGTTTATCTCCAGAACTAAAGGTTTAAAGGAATGATATCAAGTTTCACTATCTGTTTGAAGTTCAGACAAACGCGGATAACTTCAATTTTTGATTTTTAAAAATAATTGTACATATATTCTTACACGTTGTTGTTTTCACTCATCTTTGAAAAATATGGGGACCATGGAGTACTAAGCTTTTTTACTGTCAATTATTTCTTTAAAACATTGTATACTATTCCCAAAATGATGTCTTTCAATTTTGCTATGTGTCTTAAATTCATTCAAACATCATCAGTGATTATTTGTTAAATTTTCGCAAACATTGCATTGGTTGTTGTAAGTATTTGTCGCCAATGACGGTTCCCATTTTTTATGCCCCTTATATATTTTTGCTCAGTGAAATTCACCTGTTCATGTATCTATTAAACAGACATTAGTTGCTGTAAATTTCACATATTTCAGGGAATATTTCTTTGGAAATCTTAACGAGTCCTACAGCAGTTTTCATGAAGCGTTTAATTTCGCTCTTGTTCGCTGATTCTTTTCCATTCATTAAATTTTACAGTGGAGTTAATAATTCATTCAAGATTCATTTATGAGAAAATTGCAAATTAATGTTATATAATATCTATGTTATATGTCATAGAGCTCATGTAGGGAAATAAGACACATGTCACATGACTGAATTGACTACACCATGGTTACTGTTATTGCAGCCCGGAGGACCGGGCTGCTCTCTACATATAAGTAAAAGTGTTGATGTATGGAGATTGGGTTGGGAGAATTTGCTCAGAACTAAAGGTTTTCTAAACATTGAAAAGATTGCTAACCAGAATGTTTTTCCCTTTAGAAAATACGAGATGCATAAGATATTTACTTCAATAAAGTGAATCTGTAAACATATATATGTTTTTCATATTTAATTTATAAAGTTGCTTATCATTTACGATCGAAAAAACGACAGATCCCTTTTTTGGAACATCGACTTTTACTTCTCGCATGAAAACGTACTCTGCAAAGTTCGTGTTTTATATTCTTTGGTTGAAAATTAATACATATTTGAATATAGGTGATGCATGCATCTTACTTCAATTTATATTTTATGCAACCAATATTTACTTGAGGAATTGATCAAGTTTAAATTGGTATCGTTTTCGTATGATTTTTGTCCGACTATAAGTTTTCAAAATATTCGCAACTATCGTCTCCATCAGTAAGACGCACACATATCGAAGCAGTTTCATGATCAAGACTCATTTCCATTGTTTTCCATTGTTTACTTTATTTATTTTCCGGGCGACAATTGATGGTTACATCAATGTTTTCTTGTTTGTAGATGTTTAACGTTGTTTAAATCATCATCATGTGTGTTATTTTTGTACAGCTATTTAAGGTTGAACATCTAATGTAAAATGATTAAGATTTTTGAACAATCGTGTACATATATTAAAATTTTGAACATGAGCGATCCATCCCTTGTTACTCTGTGCTTCATTCTATTAGGTCGGTGACGTCATTTATGATCTATCATGACAGAAAGATCAAGAAGGATTACCTGACAAGGTATGACCTGGTAAGTTAAATAACTTACACTGGACAAAGATGCTTATGCACAATTAAATAAAAGTTATATTCTACTTTTCAAAACTTGTTTATTATGTATTTGACAAACTATTATGCTACTTTAGCAAAAATAAAGCAGTAACACTAAGATGCCTTTATTGAAAAAATATTTACAATATTAACTGACCACATGAAAACTGACCACTTCGTAGAAAATTTAAATGAAAATTCTATCGAGCTCTATATGTTTTGAATTTTTTTTAGGAAGTAAGGTATTTTTCTTTGTGTTTTTGTTCATTGTGTTTTGTACTAATAAAAAAAAATCAGAAAAAAACACCAGGTGTGCGGTATTAGACAAAAGTGTGCAGCTTAAAGATAAGGTAAGGAGATTACTTTTTTTCTTATAGCAGAATTATGAAGCGAATATTGTATTGACACCTGTTCTATTGTTTCATTGATATTGCGGTGGAATTATTTGAATGTCATAACAATTTGCTTACTTTTATATATTTTCAGCATTAGCCATGACGACAATTTGGTACCAAAAAAGTTGATGAGTCAAATATTTAAAATATCATTTAACAAAACAAATATTTAAAAAAAAAATTCTTTCATCATAACCATAACCATTTATATCAATGAGCTTCAAAATCTATTTATTTTTGAAAGATTTGACAAAAAAGGCGCTTTACTGATAAAATTGTAGCCTCCTTTTTGAAAGAACTTTTTAGTGAATAGACCCTTTTCCCATGGAATATTTTGCCTAGGAGTTATTCACCTTAGCCACCATATTGTAGGGCAACAATCCCAGATATTTTTATCATTCAGTTCAATCTATGTTTCTGGTTACTGATGTAAAGATAACACTTCTTTTCTTATGCATATAAATGATTTTATGATTGTAAATATTTCCCCCCATACATTTCTTGCATGAATGTTTCAAATTGGTTACTCATAGGGATAAATTCTCTACTTTGCCCTGCAAGATGGCGGCTAAGGGGAATAACTTCCCAAAAACGTCATATGAAAATGATGTATTGAGATATCACTGAGATATTTGACATGTATTTAGGCACTATCTTTACACATATGCTGATATATAAATATTTTCCCACTGCCCGAGTCTATCTTAAGTTGAAGTTAATATATATAAGTTTGATGTGTTTTTTAACTTACCCAAATGAATTTTACAAAAAAGAAAAGAGCTGTCTTTTCTAGGACAAGATCAATTTTGGACTCAGACCTAATTGAATGACACACCTTATAACACTATAAAACAAAGACTTTAATATGTTTCAAATGAAAATAGCAATCAAAATATATCAGTCTCCAAAAGGATAAATATATCTGTACTCAGTGACAATTATTGCTCGCAATCAATTCAACAAAACCATTGACAAAATATATGCATAATTTTTTTAATTTGTATACTATATGAAACATTTCAAAGATTTTTTCAGAGAAAAAAGTTTTAAGAGAAAATAAAACCAGAAAAAAAACTTAATTGTGTAGTTCATGTCAGTTTTCTTGATTAATATTTCAATGTCCCATTGAAGTAAGGGTGGAGTGATGCGTTAATTACAATAATAATATCTTGTTTTTTCTGTAAAATTACACGATATAGATGTAATAAAAGTTTTACAATATGCTGTAATATGTGCATTCATATATATGACAGTTTTTTTTTATTGTTACAAAACGGGATTTCAAAAAGAATCAATCATCAATTTATGGCACATTATAACCAATATATCATAATCGGAAATGGAGAACACTATAACAGTTTTCCTACTCTTTCTGCATTAAAAGTTCCCTCTGTTGTCAAAGGACAAATTTAATTTAGGTTTTCCTGTATCAATATTAGGTGTAGGGAAATTGGTTAAACCTGCAATAGTATTTCTGAAAATAAAAAAGAGAATAACAAATGTAGTTTTAACTAATTTCATTGTGATATTCCTTTATTAACAGTTACCGATGCAAATATTGAACGTTGTTACCTTTTCTTAATTTTTTTGACAGCAATGATGAAAGCAATGACCAAGATTACTGCAACACAGGTCATTGTCAAAGAAACAAGCGCAGTTTCATATCTGCCTTTGTCGAGGGAAGGTCTACATTCTATAGAAATAAAATAGTCAATTTATTTACTTTACTTTTATTTAAGCAGCTTACTCAATTTAAGCATTGTAATATCGATATATAAAACACATTGCTCGCCTTCTTTGGTTGCATTTAGTGTCCATGAAAACTTATTCTCACTAGAATCACAACCATAGCAATCGTTTGATCCAAACTCTGCATTGTCAGGCACACATTGGCCATTGATGAAACAGTATTTATCCTAAAGGCAAATAAAAGTACATATGTATTAAAGCAAAAATGCCTAGTATGTAAACATCGAGCAGAGACATTGGCATATTACAATAATAAATCTAGAAACCTACTATTTGTATGACTATATAACATATTCATTTTTTTTTTGCTAGAAGATTTATCCATTTCGTATGGTATATATATATATATATATATATATATATATATATATATATATATATATATATATATACAGTATATATATAAGAAATAAATAAATTAAGAATAAATGAGTATAATGTATTTATTATAAGTATATATTAAGAAAAAACTCGTTAAACTAAAAAGAAATTATAGACACAAAAAATATATGTTAACTTGATCGACTTTATTAGCTCTAGAGTTATAAATATTATCATCATTCTTGGTTAAATTGTAATTCAACTAAGCTAGGTAGAACAAACTGCTATTATAATTATTTAAGATTCGGCGATAAAACTTTGTTTCATGTAACTAAGAGGTCAGGTATCAAAGACCAAAATATTAAATATTGAAGAATCACATCTCCTAGAACGATGCGATATATACATGTTTAGTTTTAGTACTCTGGAAAAATAATAAGATGCCATAAAAAATTAATTTTGAAAATAACAGCTAACTCCAATCTTCAATTCTGAATAAAATGTTACAATGTTCACCTTTAAAGCAAATCTTAGGTGTCCAGACACATTAACCGTATCCTGACACGTAGAGTCTAAGATGTACATAAACTGACCAGAGCTGAAGTTGTTAGCATTGTTGCTTATTGAAATCATGTAACCTGTCACAAATGCTTCATGAGAATAACGAATGGATCTTTTGTGTTCATTAACTGGAACACGGCATCGGACCTCAGCGAGGGTATTATGTTTTGCTGGTATGATAACAGATTCGTGGAAAATTTTCATGTTAATTATGGAGGCCTGAAAAATCAAGAAAAAAATTTCTCTGACCCACTTTCTCTCTCCTCTCTCTCTCTCTCCCTCTCTCTCTCTCTCTCTCTCTCTCTCTCTCTCTCTCTCTCTCTCTCTCTCTCTCTCTCTCTCTCTCTCTCTCTCTCTCTCTCTCTCTCTCTCTCTCTCTCTCTCTCTCTCTCTCTCTCTCTCTCCAATTAACTCAGTCTTATCACAATTGTTAATTATTATCGTTCCCCATTTTTCCCATATTATCAGCCAATGAAATAATGTGCATTAATCTGACTTTTTTCGTCTTCAAATATAAAAAAAATGCTAGAGTTAAAAAAAACAGGTATATGATATCAGTCAAACCTGGAATTTAGTCATCTTGCATGTAAGATTTTCTCTGTCCAGGAACATGTCCCCTTCTACAACAGCTTCTTCACAATCTGCAACATCGCAGATACCTCCGCTTTGAGGGTTGATTGAGAAAACATCAGGTGGGATAGACAGATCTTGGGAACAGTCTGATCCGCCAAAAATGTCCTCACAATCACAAGTTCCTAAACAAACAGCATTTTGTCTAATTTTATAAAGGTGAAAGTGAAAATTTCATCTTGATGAGATTTTTGCCATTGCCAAACCATTGTTTAATATTTTTTTTTATCAAAAACTCTTCCTTGTTGACTCAAAACATTTGTTAGAAATGAATAAAATTGTAGAGTTGAAGATAGAATTCGCCTTATTCAACTTGACCTTATTGACTTCTTTAACTTAATCATTATTTCTATAAGAAATAAATGCTTTCATCCACTTGAGTAACATATTGATTTACAGGCAAAGACCAGCATAGCCTAGTTTATCTGAATCCTTTAAAGCACAATTGTGCAATTTAAACGTCTATTAATTTATAATAAGATTGAAAAACTATATGACAAATAAAAAAAATATATTATTGCCTAATCCCAAGAGTTAAATGTAAAAGGTTATTCTGGTGCATCTATGGTATCCTGCTCATTTTCTTACCATTATTACATATGCCATGACCACTGCATTCATTTGAACACATCATATTTTTAATATTTTCTACGATACGTTGTCCATCCTTTCCCTCTCTAAATGTGTTATTTTGATTTAATTCTTTCATACACAATGTCTTCAATCCTTCACGAGATGCAGGTGCCCAGAGAGTAGTATTCGTTAGCTGAAAGTAGGATATCTTTAGCTAAATTTATTGAATTCATATTTTCTGGAACAATATACGTAATACACTGCTTAATAGATGGATTGCCTTGAATAAATAAGCAATAAATGCATGTTTTGGATTGTTCAAGAATGAATTGACGGTTCATTTACATAGAGGGCTTCACTGTATATACCTGAATGTCTGCAATGCAATTTTGAATAGCATTTTCCGCATCCACATTTGGTACACTTCGGCAAGCCTGGAAACTTTTGGATGAATTCATATAGGTTTCGCAAAAATTTCTTGCCTCCTTCTCCGACATTGATCTGATCACTACTGCAGATCTCTTTAATGAAACGTAGAAGACAACTTTACATCAAGTTATAAAAATATATCACAAAACTTTCAAGGAATATCTTTAACTAATATCTTTAAAACCAATACAATCAGCACATATTTGCAACGCAATGTAGGGAACAGATATTCAGAATAGTACACGCATTATTCAGCGCTTTCTTTTGTTAAAGAAGCATTATGACTCACATAATTATAAACCTGAAAAATACCAAGCTTTTGGCAAACAAATAGTTGGTATCTTATTTGTCGACTTCGGTCAGTCGACGTCGAAGTTCAAAACTATTACAACAAAAATGCAAGTGATATATTGACGTAGCTGAAAGATCAAACTTAAGGTTAAATAAATGGATAAACATATAAAAGAATCTTCTTACCTTTGATCTCTGTCTTTGACTGAGGGTTTTTTTTGGTACGTAAGTAAAAACAGATCGTGCCGACCGTTTTCCTTTCTGAGTACAAGCATGACTTTTGACTGCTTCATCTGCTCTCGGACACGTGACATTATTCGAACATAGGACAGTATTACTCAGTTCAAATTTGATTTTTCGACATGTACAAATTCTCACAGATCCTTTCATATCACCGAGATTTTCAATATCAGACTTCAACATGTTGAATAGGCTGTTTTGATCTTTAACTCTACAAGCAGTATGAAAATATTTATGCTACATGAATCCGTTTTTTCTGGCTGTAACTTAAAACAAGGAAAACAGAAGAAATGTGAACTATCAAGTATATAACACAATGAAAAACTAACCTCCAAGATAGCGAGAAATTGTCTGGTCTGCGAACATCATGGGATTTGTGAGTGAAGTCATATAGTTTACCTGAACGTAATTGACTACACAAGCCTTTAGATACACCTTCATCAAATTTGGATGGAAATATGTTAACTTCAATTACATTCTCAGTCTGATATTTCCACAAACGCAATTGTACATACGTGCTTGTAGGAAAATAAATCTGAATGGTAATGGAAAATATTAATTATTTTTTTGATTTCTTAATTTCTTAAAAACTTCAACATTGCAAAAATATGTGATGCAAGAACATAATTTAACAATTGCTCCTTTACGTCAGTAATATAGTGTTGACAATTTATATAAACTATATACTCACAATATAATTAAAATCGTCTTGTTTGCGTACATCCAGGACATTATCGGCACAATTTTTGAATCCAAAAAAGTATTCATCATTCGGACATCTGTTAATAATATACACATCAGCAGCAGCACGCACAGCTACGCCACAGTTGCAAAATATACCAGGCCCAGTCACCTTGTTGCATGGAGTGAGTCTTGTTTGAACCTTCGATTTCAAGAAGTTTAGTTTTACAGTAACAAATTTCTATAGCTAAATGAATATAGTTCACTACATGCAATTATAGTTTCAAGCTTACGATTTAACAGATTCTAGTTTCACAATCTATATAAATTTAACTATAGTGACCTTTACATGTATGTGCCAGCATCTACTGTGACAAATATAATGACGATCTCATCCGAAAGACCGGTCTCCACTCAATGAAAATTTAAACTAATAAAATCAAAATGGCAAAAATTTAAAATAGATATCAAATTACTAGAAAATTAAAAAGATCCTGCAGACAAAAGATGTGTTTAATCATTAAATCCAGAAAAAAGAATAGTATTTTTTTTTATAATAGGATTTAATTATAGTTCCTTTAAAGACTCTTTGAAACAGGTCTAGCTTAAAGGGAGGAGGACTTACATGTAAACTCTTACATGTTTTAAAACTTGAAAATTGTACCTGCATTATATTGGCAAATCCGTCCAAACTTTCGTACATAATAAATGTTCCAGGATTTTGGTTATTATACGAGCTATAATAATTAAAAAAGATTATTGTTATAATTTTTATTTTTAAAAGAAAAGAGAAATTGGAAATGACTCATTCGCAAATAATTCTAAAGATAGAATTGAAGTAAAATGCTATTTATAAATCACTTTGTGAAGGACGAAGGCATCATAAGAACGAAGGCATCATAAGAATTTAAATGATTCATATTCTAGATTCCTTTTTGGATTGAAAAAAACATTTTATATATTAAATGGAAATAAGACAATAATAATTATCTAAATGAAAAAAATATAATTATACCCGAATTTTCTAAAGAAATGTCGTGCGTTGTTGTTTGTCATATCCGTCCGTCCCTCCGTTTGTCATACTTTTCTCCCTAAAACTTTTGCTTCGTTATACACAGCAGTAGCTTAAAGCCTAATCATCCTTGGGAAATTGTTGGTGGCGTTAAGTAGATGTATATTTAGACTTCGAAATTTTCATTTACAATTTGGGGTTCAAATGAGGGTCCAAAATGACTTTTCTTTATGAAAAAAGCCCGTATTCCCTGATCTCATCCTATATTTCACAGAGTATAGCCTGACCATATTTTCGTAGATGGCCAAGATTAGATGTGCAGTAAGGTTTTCAATTTCCATATTCAACCCTGGGGGCAAATAAGGTTCGAAAATGATGTTATATGAAAAATGCCACAGGTTCCCTGAACTCATTCTAATAATTTACACATTAGCCAAATCATCTTTCTGAAGATAGTTGGTGCTTTGTAGATGTACTGTAAGGTTTCGGAATTTTCATTTTCAGCCTTTGGGTCAAAGAGGGGTTAAAAAATAATAATAATCATTTTGTAAGTTCTATGGTGGATACAATGACTTTGTCAACAAACACATTTTATCATTAAGACAAATGCTGACTGAAGTTTTTCATACTAATTGTTAGTCCATTATTTATACACTGAATTAACAAAGGATTTTTCCGTTATTGCCTGATCATGACAAGTAGCACACGGCGGGTGTGACCGGTCAGCAGGGAATGCTCACTTCTACATGGCACCTTATCTCACCTTTGATGTTTAGGAGGTCCCTGTTTGCTCTGCTCCTATTTTGTATTGTTTTATGGACTTAGAGATTCAATACCGTTCGTTATTTCCATAACCTTCTTCAAAAAACGTCCCTTATATTTTACGATTTTTTTAAAATCATGATGATTTAGAAGATAATTCGTGTTTGTCTTGTGGATATTTGAAATGGTTTAATAATTTGCATTTTCATATGGAAGGCAAATAGGGGCAGGAAAAAGTGACCCTCCCAAACCCTGGGGTCAAGCTTTTTAGCTTTTTACAAACTTGAATCTACACACACTTCCTGAAAATGTTCCATGTGCTCCTGATTAGATAAATACTACAAGGAAAATGTGAGGTCAAAATAAAAGTAAAAGTCTAATTCAAAAAAAAAATATTGGTGTAAGTAATATTTTTAGCGGTATGCATCAGCATATGAAGTTTGAAAAAGAAATTAATTAATTAACTGTAGTAAAGTTTTGTTATGGTAACTAATGACGATTGAATCGATCAGAGAGGGTTATAATTAATCTGTAGGTTTTTTTCTCTACTTTTGTATGAATTATAAATACATGATACAAATATGTATTTAAATATAAACGAACTTACAGTCCATCAAAAGTCATCATATGAGGATCACTGTGTGAATAACACGACTTGCCTTTCCATTCTGTATTGTTATCTTTTATGTAAATCTGAATTATATAAACCATTTTTCTTCATTTTAAAACATAAAAATGAGTACTTTGTTAAAACTTGTTCAAATGTGTTAAATCTAACCTGTACTTCTTGTAGCATAACATTACTCCATATTTTATGAGATGGCATTGCTGTTGTATAAAACTGGATGTAATGTACTGGAGTAGCTTCATAATCAAGCGTTTTGTCTTCATTTCTTATTGTGAGGGATTGAATAGCATCCCATGACTCTCTTTCTATACCTACACCACAACTACCGATTCCTTTTATATCATTACAGCTGGAACGTTGGGGTGTTTTCGCCTCAACAGTCAATTTACAGGATATTACATCATCTTGGTAGAAAAAACAGCCAAAAGGCACTGTCAGCTGCATTCTTATTACACCCTCCTTTCCTCTTTGTACTATGATCGGTTCATTTAAAATCTGCAACTCATGTAATTAATTTTATTAAGACAAATATGAATTTTAAAGAAAATGTGAAAATTATTTTGGTTAACTATTTGTATCCGTCTAGGAAAAAATATACCTTTAATCCTGCAAAGAAATCCTCGCTCATTTTTGAAAGTGACCCATTGTCTCTGTCTCGAGTATGCAAAGAGTATTGGCAGCTTATCTATAAAAAGATTTAGTGAAATGAAAAGAGTGATTGGATAATGCATGTTAAGAATCAATTCAAATGAAGCTAATAAAAAATAGAATACTGTTTAAGTAATCATTTATGAATTAGAAAAATTCATGCGTTCCCAATTTCAGTCCACTGGCGCTGAATGAATTTTTATAAATATGTGGAGATATATTCCATACATTTGAACTAGGATTTTTTGTTTTGTGTGATTTTTTTTTCTTGTTTGTCTTTCTTGTTTCTTTACGTCAACTATGAAATTAAGAGGTAATTTGAATAGATGAATAATTTCCTGACGTCCTAGTATCTAATATACAAAAAAAGATTAAAAAAATAATTCACGGACAATATTCCGAGTCTCATTCAACAAAACATACAATATAATCATATTTGTCTTTAAAAAGAGTGATATTTATATTTCCATATGTTGTGTTCTTCTAGGTGATTACAAGGTATTTTATTTGATTAGAACAAATGTGAAAAGCTAGATGGCGTAGATTACTTAAAAAGTTTGCATCTCTTTTTCTTCATGAATCATAGAATAAAGCAGATTGACTTGTATTTTAGTCAATAGAATGATTTAATCAAATTTGAAGTACAATATTTTCTTTCTCTTCGACAACTTAATCCCACAGTTGTTTATTGAGTAAAAATTACTGAACGAAGACCAGTCGAGTGGATTAATGTTATTGTTTGCGAGAAATTCTTTACAAACCCTGGCTACATTGGTCGGCTTTTAAGACGCTGAAAATAAGACAGGCGAAGCGAGCATGCGCTAACGTAGTGTTGGCCAGCTCAAGTTAATGAAGAGGTAGAGCAGTGGCAATAATAAACAGATGAGACGATAAATAGACATATTTTAACGTGGCTCTCTTAGGGATCAATGTCATTGTCACAGTAGGTTGGAAACATTTCCAGGTCCTATCTGACAATTGTTAGACGCTCAATGAGGAAATAATCGAGAAATTGGTGCCATCCGTTGTTATATTTTTCCTACATATTCAAATTGAATGTAAAAGCCAGACCATATGGAACTATCGTCAAATGTACAATAATTCGAAGAAATGCATGTTTTCTGTAAATATGAATCGATTATAAATTGTTTAACGTCCAATTCAAGAACTTCATTAAAATAGAGACACCATCATATATTGGTTGAGGAATTTAAATTTGACAATTACTTGGCACTTAAGACCATTGATGATAGATAAAACATTCAAATATTTTTTTTCAGAAATCAGGAACATTTCTCACAGATTTGCATTTTAAATTGATAACCTGAATAATGTTTACCAAGTATATGGGAAAATTGTATGAGATTTTGTAAAGGTAAAAATTTGTGCAAAATTTTGTATGGAATTACATAAAAAGCAAAACAATTTCTCAAATCTAAGCACGAAGGAAAACCTACGATTTCTTTATATTTAAAGGATTAATTAATTATGTGTTTTCAAATCAAAATCAATCAAAAAATATATTTATCAATCCATGCATCAAATTTTTGTTTGTGTTAAGTACCCTTTAGCAGTTCTGGATCTTTATCGTACCAATGCCTTTCCTGACAAAAGACATTGATTATTAAAGGTTTCATACGAACGACCCACACTTCTCACTCCAAAGTGCTGAGTGCATGGCGAATTAACAGTTGTTACATAGTTTTACCCGTGTTTTCTTCTCTCTTATTTTGTTATGTTTAATGAACCTTTGAGCTCGAAAAATGTTTGTTGTCTTCACTTATTTAATCTTGACCGTGTTTATTTACAATATCAATTATTTTATTTTAAACCTCTTTAACCACTCGAGGGTATCTATATATATTACTTTGTAAAAAGAAACGTACCTTAATTCCTAATTTTTTAATGCCGTTATTTTCATAGAAATATCCAAATGATAAATTGCTCTTCAAAACAGTATCGCTCGTGTAACACAAACTTCCATCAATATACCAGTTGAATTGGAAAGAAGTATTATCATCACTTTTGCGTATTTCTTCAGACATGCATTTAAAAAACAGTGACTCGTAGAACAACGTTTCATCGTCCTTGTCCTGAACCTTCTTTAGGGCAAAACTTACTTTTGGGAGTTTTGGATCTGCATTAAAAAGTGATATATGAATAAGGTATTTTACCTATCTCCCTAGATATTAAGAATTCTTTTTAAAAGTATATTTAAGAAACTACTTATAGAGCATGATATAAAATCACTTGTCAAAGAAATTGATATAAATTTTCTATTCAATTCTCAATAAACATGTATCTTTCATTCCTGACATTGTCTCATCAGCGAATGTGTAAAATTTTGTTCTAAAATATACTTTGAAATATAATAACTGAAAATATTCTTGCAGTAAAATTAAATACAGCTAAAAATTTTAAGATATTGAATGTTACACTATGTAGATTTAAAAAAGTATCCTTCCACATCAATGAATATTTTAAACAGGTACATGTATTTTTATGTCTTTCGACCTTTCACATTCAAAGCAAGTTTGTCCCGTTTTGAATTCGCCAATTCAAGTACAGTTAAAAAAGATTTTAAAAAAATAAATTGTATTCTTTGCAAAAAGATTTAGTCCAAATAAGCTAATGTAAGGCAAAATGTGCGAAAATGAAACAGGGAAAAATTTCCTTTGAACAATAGCACCACATTCATCTTGTTTCTCAATGACAAATTTCAAATTGAAAAATGAAAACTATAGAAAAAGATATGCGATAAATAATTTTAACGTTACTGTTCTGACTTTTACATAAAAGCTGACAGTTGTCACATCTAAGGAGAGAGAAAAATAACATACCTGGTACACAATCTATTTTGAAGTTTCTTAGAGTTGAACAATCTGCGACCGTTACTTTGCAAATTTCAGATGATTTGCAGTCCAGACACTTCCTGTTTTTCATCCATGTACACTACGTTCCAAAAAATAATAAAATCACTGCAGTTTTTCATAATATATTATAATATGACTGATCAATTTTTATCTCTTTGATTGAAGGAGATCCTACACTGGATAAAAGATGTATCGTTATAATCACCGAACTTTTTATAAAAATATCCACATTAGACCAAAACAGATTGGGAAATTTCAACTTGATACACATTTATTTAGTTGCAGAAAGAAATTTCATTAGCACTTGACTTCCACTCATGGGAATAGAACAATAAGATACAAAGAATAAGAGAATGGTCGTGAAGAAGTGGGGGAAAGTTGCAGGAGCCCTCCGTTTGTTGAAAACTTTATATATATAAATTTCAGTGATACGCTTGATCACTGAAAACACAGGTTTTTGACCAGTTCCGAATAAGAAAAGAATTCGGGAGGGCTATAAATATAGGAGGCATTATTTTAAAATCTTCGTTTTTTTGTCAAGGTAGTTAAATAACTTGTGGAATTAGATATTCTTTTATAAAAGTTCAGCCTCCCCCCCCCGCCAAAAAATTCGCAAGTTATCATAGGTGTTCACTTTACCAGTTACGAATAAGCCGAGGGGTTCTGAATACCCCAGCGGTACCCATTCAATTAAACCCTGAATTAAGAATTATACGTCCGGCACATTATCCATTAATTGGCATACCTAAGGAAAGTTTAATCCATTGCTTATCAATAAGTTATTTGTATTTCCATAGGATAAAGGGAAACTAAGGGAACTGTGAACACTGTGCTCACTTTCATGATACCCAACGCCTCATGTATGATTATTATGACAAAGTCCATGTTTTTTTTCTCTCTGGGAGACCCGAAATAAGTGTCAGATCAAAAAAGTAAAATAAGAGATTACATGTAAATGGCACAATGTAATAGAGAATCTATGAAAGTGGAATGGAGGAATTGTGGATTAGAGATGGATATACCCTTTAATATTAGGAAGAATGGCAGAATTCATGCAATGCTTTGGGAGCCCAAATAATGTGCCAGATCAAAAAATAAGGTGTACTTTGTAACTATATAGCAAAGATTCTGTGCAAGCCTCATTTAATTTCATGCAGTGGTAGAAGAGGAGTTGTGGATAAGAAATGGGTACCCCAAAGCGAATCAGACGGACGGACAGTCGTACAGACGGATGGATTGACAAACATCCCATCATTATAAACCCCCTTCTTCTGCATTTCAAGCGGGAATATGATAAGTCACGTTTACTATGAAGAAAACAACGAAGAATGAATTTATAATAGTGTTTGAAATGGGTGTTGGGAACTAGTAAAATGACAACACGAAAATATTCCGATATCATCTTCCAGTGTTCTAAATATTTATTTTAAACGTTTAAAGCATTTGTTAGAGTACGTATCAAACTTACTTTTGATACGTAGAATTTTGTTTTATGTGAAAAATTGATGTCTCTACAATGTTTTTTCTGCAGACTTACGTGTCGCGGTGATTCAGATTTGACGCATTGTAAAAGTATGTCGACTCTTTCAAGTACAATGACAAAACCGAACTGACGGCAAAAAATAAAATCTTCGCATAATTCAAACACTCATAAATAAACCGTCTTACCATAAGTACACTGTATCACTATTCAATTCATTTTTACACCTTTGAATGTAATAATTATCACCTCTTAGATAAATAAATATACGGATCTGGTCAAAATTCGGAACTGGTCAAACGACTGCATGTATTTTAATATCCTACAAAACAATCCTGGAGAACTCTCCTCTTGGGGGGGGGGGGGGGGGGGGGTAGGTTAGACAAAGATTCCGTTTTTCAGAAAAGTTGTCTTTCTTTTATCCTAATGGTGTCGCTAGTTTTCTTTCTAAATCGATCCTTTAAACCGTGTCAGACGGGACAATTTTTAATGTCTAAACATGATTTAGTAACCTTTAAAGTGCATAATTAACCTTGACCTTGTGGAAATCTTTTACTCCTTTGGTGTCTTAATCATCATTTTGATCTCAAAATCCGCAATAATTGTGTATTATTGTTAAATATAAGCTTGCACGTTGTTTTTTTTTGTACTGTCCATAAAAGATTTATTGCAATGTTTTTATAGAAACAAATACCATACCACATCCGTTTTGGACTTTGTATACACAAGCCATTCGAGGACTTCTTCATGATGGCAGGTGTCTTCAAGGCACTCTTCATCAATATGATCGTCTCTTCGAACTCGTACTTTTCCAGTTTTAAGGAACGTGAACGCTCTATCTCTACTCAATTCTCTACCATGATGAAAACCTAAAATACCAATCAATCTCTTATTAATTCTACTCTCTCTCTCTCTCTCTCTCTCTCTCTCTCTCTCTCTCTCTCTCTCTCTCTCTCTCTCTCTAACATATCGTATTTACTTACGTTGTGATTCAGATACAACCATTTTTTCCTGCTGTCCTCTACACATTTTTACGCAAGGTCGGTTTTCTATATCAAGATTTTGAGTGCATGTTTGCTGGTCACTACAAGATCTTCTTCTTCTGTTTTCATAGCCTTCTCCGCAAGTGACATTGCATCTGCCCCATGGCGACCATGGACCAGTTTCAATAATTTCAGTGAAAATGTAGATGGTTGTATACGCCAAGACAATGAATCCGTATGTAAGAATCTTGAATATCATCGTAATTAATCAGAATTTTTGTAGAAGCTTAAATCTCTTCGGAGAGAGGGTTCATGCAGACTATGTATGACCGAAGATCCCAAGTTTACTACTTTAATGTTTATATTATAGATAATAAGTAGAAACCTTCATCGATTTAAAGAAGATAACTCCGCCTGCTTTGAATACCTTGATAATAATAACAACCTGGTCATATTTTTAATACATATGCTTCTTTTTTTTGTTTCTTTTTAATAATTTTAATATCTTTTTTTTTTTCTTAAAGGGATCGTCTTGGAAATTTTATCATTGAAAAAAGTTCTGTTATTTTTTAAGTTGTTCAGAGCCAACGGTATAAGGTTTTACTACCGCTTTGCACGATCATTTTGTTTTACAAATCCGTTTCTATGATTATTGATTTTACTTTATTTAGGTAGAACCTTTGTCGGAAATGTCTTTGTCACAAGATTTTCAAACTTTTCAAAATGATAAAATAGTAATTGCTTATCAATCAGTTAAAAGCTCATGTTATGTTTCCTTGTTTTTTAGGTATAAGTCACATTATCCAACGATGGGGTATACGATGAGAAACCGATGCGTTTTTTGATGAAAATGGCGTGGTTGCCGGCCGGGCACCACTAGTGATCGGACGGTGACTGAGTCTTTTTTTGCGAATCGGTGGGGTCATCGGTAGGAAATAATTCGTAGTTAAAATTCAGCGATGTCTCCAACGATGCCTCACATCGCTCCTCATCGGCAACCCATCATTAACACATCTATCAAGGATCGGCCGATTTATGGCCGAGCATCGTCCAATATCCGTTGAATCTGAGGTCATCGGGGAGTTTAGTGGTGTTCAACAGATAACGACCGATCATCGGTCGATGTTCGACCAAACATTGGCCCTTAGTCGACCGATGTACGAACAATGTTCACTAATGTATGAGCGATGTAATATACATCGGCCGATTATCCTAGAACATCGTTTTATGATTAGCAATGCATCGCTGGGCCTTTGTAAGTCCGGCCGGCAACCACGCCATTTTTCTCATAAAACGCATTGGTTGTCCATCGTATACCCCATCGCTGGATAATGTGACTGATACTTTAAGGACTACTTGGCCGATGTGGACCGATGTTTAGGCATCGTTAACACCACGGATTACTACCGATTACCACCGGTCTACGGCTACCGGCCGGGAAATGTGACCTAGGCATTAATCTAGTACAGCCTGTAAAACTTGGTATGGTAATTACATACTGTGACTACACATTTTCAGTTATTCTTAGTGGTACTTGTCAAGAAGAGAATATGAAAAATCACAAAACACCTCTTCAAACATCGTTGTTTATAGACATTATTAACTGAACAATATTAAGTGATATTTCTTAAGAATAATTCTATTTTATTCAATTTCCATAAAAGATAAGTCCATATTTAAAACAAAAAAAGGGAAATGAACTCTATTTTTTAGTCAATTTTTAGCCCAATATTTTTAAATTTATTTCAATTAAAAATTTAATTTTTAAATGTAATACTGTCTTGTTAAAATGGTAATTCATATATCCGGACGCTTCACATATCCGGACAAATTTATTGGGAACCAAAGCGTCCGGATAAATGAGGCTCCACTGTATACCTTTCGCGTCTAACTAATGAGAGACAGGTTATTTACCGATGCTAATATTCTTGACCTTTTTGCACTTACACAGGATTTAATTAAATGTCTTTTTTTTTGGTTACTTTCAGATTAATAATGTTTATCACAAATTGTACTTTTTATTCAAAAAGATCATATTTTTAAAAGAAAAATTGCAAACAAGCACCAAGAATATGAATAAGTAACAAATAACTATGAAAAGTAATGCACATCAATTCATGATAGATATCACAAAAATGTACACACGATCGCACGATCTACAACACGTACATCTTTGACTTAGACACATTTCATCAAGATATTACACTATTTAGTTGGCAACTGAATATTTCTTAGGAGTTTTGCATTCCTTCACATTATTACATTAAGTTGTATACATTGTAGTTTTAATCACACAAGGTATATAGTCTTAGATTTGCAAACTTTATTAAGGTAAAGGTCTAGTAAATGTAAGGTGCCTACAGGTTTCTCAGATTCCAGAAATATATTGTAATTAAGCATTATAGACAAAAATTATATAAATTGCATTAAGATTATATCCGCATGATTTTGAATTGAATTCTACCATTTCTATTGAAGCTGTAAAGTACAGGAAAAAGTTAATTATGACGTCATAATGGATCTAGCACAGGCTAAACACATTCACTAGTTATAATGTCATACGACGTACGTAGGTTCTACGTTAAATAACTTACCAATAAAAATATATTAGTAAAATAAAAAAAGTATTTATTTTTATAATACAGACTGTTTTATTCAAATAAAAATCTGCTCTTTTATGTTTTAATTTTATTGATTATTTTGTGAATTTGACAACCTTTTTATGCCCTGTTCACAGATTTGTATTGTATACTGATTTCCGTTTTTGAGATAAGTCACTCTTCGTATCTTTCTTTACTTCATTGTACTCTTCGTCAAAATCAGGACATAAAAATTACCGTTATAATGTTAAACCTACCGTACAGCTAAAACAAATCATACTGTTTTATTTAGAGCAAGGTTTTGACCTGAGGTTGTAATCTTTGTTTACATGTACATGTACAAAGCTTAATCCGTTATTATGATAATGCATTGTTGTGATGTTTGATGACTTTGTTGATCATGTGACGAAAACATATTATTTTCTACATGTTAATAAAAACCTCCTCGGTACAAGTGCTTTTAAAATATTGTTAATGTTTTGGTGTACAATTCAGTTTATTGCATTCTTATGTAAATGTACTGAGGGTAAGTTTATCAAGTAATGAAAATATATATTAAATGAGTTTTCAACTTATCATAAAACAGCTACATGTAAGACTCTTGGTCGAAAAAAGTCTACGTTTTATTCGTTTACAATGCATAAGGCTAAATGAATTAATAACTTGTTTCTTAGGAAAGGTTTTTTTTCAAAAATGAATGCTGGAGAGAGAATTTCTTTCGTTTTACCACATAAAAAAGTAAACTTTTTTATATTTTAAGCTCACCTAAGCTAAAAGCTCTAGTGAGCTTTTCTGATCACATTTTGATTGTAGTCCGTTTGATGACCTTTTGGGGGGGGGGGTAGGATGGGTCCACAATGGACGATCAAAGTTTTACATAGGAATATACAGGAAAAATTGTCTTTCCAAGAACAACAACGACAAGATTAGTCATATCTATATGGAAGCATCCATAGTTAGTGTAGACTCAGGTTTGTTCATATTATGAACCCAGGGGGTAGGGTGTGCCACAATGGACGGTAAAAGTTATACAAAGAAATATATGGATAAAAATCTTTAAAAATCTTCTCAAGAACAAAAGAGCCATGATAGGTCATAATTATGTATATGGAAGCATCCTCAGAAGCTGTGTAGATTCATTTTTTAATCATGACCCCTGGGGATAAGGTGGAAATAGGGTGCAGCTAAATTGAAATTTATAGAGAAAAAACCACAGATTCAATTTAATTCAAATCATAACCCCCTTCCCCTAAGGGGTATGTTGGAACCACCTATGCATTAAAGCTTTTCAACTATATAATTATACATTTTGTTGCCTAAGTTCTGTATATTTATGTTGCAGTTTTGTATCCTAAATTCAGTATAATTTAATTCTTTTTGTTTTACTCGGACGCAAAAGTCTTTCTCGGCTTTCACTGAAAGTGGGAGATTTTAATTTGGGTCTGTCTATAGATCTGTCCGTTTGTCCTTCAGTATGACTACCTGTCTTCCTGTCAGTTTATATTTTATCCAAATAAATCATGGGACAAAATATACTATTTCACAATCTTTAAAAAGACATACTTAAACATGACAAAGAGACATATTCTAATTTCTTCGTAGAATCAATTTTTTGGGCATAAAAATGAATTAACAAGCAAAAAACTTGAACTGTTAAACTTATCCTGAATTTAAAGGTACTTGGACACAGATTTGAAGTTAAATTTTCTTCCTAAGGATTAAGAATTAAGTTAAAATTGTGAACGTGCAAGGATGTGTCAATCAAACCCGCCAAAAAATTTCAAGTTTTAATAACTTTTAAATGAAATAAGATTTTTAATTAATTTTTGTGTGAAATGCTATTAAAATATATAAGTCGTAATATTATAGAGAAAATATTAACTTCAAATCTGTGTCCAAGTACCTTTAAGCAAATTGATTATTAATGTTCTTAAATTCAGGAAAAATTGAGAGTGGAGTCTATGATGTATTTTTTTTTTTTAGATATTACTAAACTGTCAATTCAATTCATTTTCCCCCAATGACTTTCAGAATAAATTTCTTATATTTGTCACTTCATGATGTTGAAATTCAAGATTGTATAGATAAAGATCCAATTGAACCGTTAGGTAAAAGTGATTTAACCAAAATTCTAATTTCTACATTACGGCTTTGTACAGCAGGACCAACTTGAGTCTTATTGAATGTGGCTTCAACATTGTGGTTAAATAACAGTCTCCTTGCATACATGTACAGGTGGGTATGTATGAAATTATGGAGGGATATTTTGTTTCTTTTGGAACAGTGACAAACCTAGGTCTTCGGAACACGCAGCATGTGTCAAAAAGTAAATCAAAATTATAGCATTCTTATTTCGTAATGAGTTTTAAATTTAGTCGTCCAAAATACTCTGTTTATCAAATAAGCGCATGGGGAGGTGGTTTGATAAGATCGTTCGCGTCACAGA